AACATATTATCTTTTCTATCCTCTTTTGTTTTGTATAGCCATTATTTTTGAAGCCAAAGCGATGAAATATATATATATATATTTATGGAACACTTTAATTGTGGAATACTATAATGTTGAAGAATCATAAACTTTTATTGATATTCGTAGATATTTATAGATTTTTTGTTTTGTTGTGAAATCTTTAAAATTTTGTTAATATCATTATTATTATTATTATTTTAGAAGTTTGTAGATCACCACACTCCCTGGATGTTTGAGTAGAATATCACATTATATACTTATGATCTTTTTTTTTTTAATGATTATTGTCATATTGTCAATTGTAATATATTTATTTTATTATTTGTTACATATTCTTTATTATCATTATATATATATATATATATATATATATATATATAAGAAAATAATAAGATGTGTACAGCGAATTTTTTATCCCAAATTTTTAGTGTATAACGTATTATACACGTACATATCTTTATTTATATTTTTACATCTCCGTATTTTTTTGCCGAATTTTGTAAACATATTTTTTTAAAAATATCGAATTATACTCGTACGTTTCCGTACCTATATTTTTTTTGTACCGTATTTTACTAACTATGAGTTAGGCTCATATTTTTAAAGTCGTTTTAAACGCAAATTCTCCCATATGAACTGATACTTATCATAACGTGGAAGAAGACTTCTCTAAATAGGCAGCCCCCATTTTGTTGAAGGTAACCACAAGTGGATTATTATTTTGGTAGATGTACCAATTAAAGAAGCATATGATTTCCAAACAAACCATGAAAATTCCATCAAACAATTTGCATCGTGAAGTATTTGATTTTCCTACCTCTCAACTTGGAGAGCAAATTAATAACAACAATGTTAACCAGCAGACTTTGTAGATCAAATTTTCAAATGAATTAAATCACAATCATTGGTTTAATGAGATTAGGATCGAAGAAAGCATGACAAAGAATTAAATGGCACATAAGAGTAAACGAATTAAGCCACAATAGTTGGTCATGACCATTGCTTGGAAATATTGTTAGGACAAAGTGACATTATAATACAATATGTAGTTGTATGGGTTGCCAATCTAAACACCCCAATTCTTGACTCATCATATTTGCATTTTTTTTTAAGTTGTCATCAAATTTAATCAGAGGTTTGAACGTTATAAGTATCAAATGTAAACGGCAGTAAACAAAAGACCTAAAACACCCATTGAGACAGTTATTATTTCAACGATACTATGGCTACGAAATGGGTTCTTTGTGACGATGTATGCAGGAATATTCATACTGTTTTAATAAAAGGCAAACTTTCTAACAAGAAGTCACCATTGGAATTAGTGCCAAGTGTTTTCTTAACATTAGTGAGATTTTGATTTAATTTAGTATAATTAATTAATTTTAGGTAGGGAAACTCTTTTCTTTTTTCTTTTTTCCTTCTTTTTTGATACCAATAACAGAACATTTTTCACAAAGGAGCAACTTTCTAGGGTTGATCATTCTGAAGGAAAAACTTTCTAGGGTTCATTAAGGTCTAACAAGAGTGTTTAATTCTATCTCAAATTGAAGAAGTGGTGTTAGCCTTTATTGAAAGAGATAAAGACTTATCAAGATATTAGTAACTATCAAGCCCTTATTTTTTAAAAAAGTGATTTTAAATTCAAATGTGTTTGAGAGTACCAATTAAAAAGAAAAAGATTAATTTTATTGACACCCTTATAAAAATATAATTCCAAAATTACTATCTCTCAGACTCCTGGCACCGTTAAAAATGTTTGAAAAGATAATTTTACTTTTAATATTTTTAATAATTTTTATTGTAAAATATCAAAAAATTAAAAGGACTAAAATGCCCTTACCCTCACTGCAAATTTCATACCCCCTTTCCCTTACTACAAACCCTAATCATCATAAACTGTTAATATTAATGAATTTGGATTGGCCCATCTCCCGTTTCGCTCCAACTGGCAGCCGCCACCACCGTCCACTTCGCACAGCTTGTAGCGGGACACCTTCTCCTAGCTTTCTTTCTCCCCAACCGGAAACGTAGTGTAGTGATTGATTTGATCCAACCAAAAGAATGGCTTATATTACAAGCCATTAAAATAAAGGCTACTGGTCAGAATTATTAATTGCTCCTCTTCACCATTAATGGCCTCTCCCTCTCTTCTTTGCCGACAGTAATAGAGAAGAAGAAGAAAATAAAATAAAAAGGAGAGAGAAAAATGTTTTGCCGGCAATAATGAAGAAGAAAAAGAAACTAGAAAATAAAGCAAAAAAAAAAAAAAAAAACAGAAGATATATGGATGTATACAAAGAAGAAAAGTTGGAGAAAGCCGGAGGTGTAGATGATGACTGATGAGAAATATATATATATATATATATATATATATATAAAGAATAATTATAAATTTATAATTATAATTTGGTTGGTGTAGATGATGATATATAGTGTAAATATATATAAATAATAATTTTTAAAAATAATTATAATTTGCTTGGTGTAAATTTATATAATAAAGGTGAAAGGGTAATCCAAGTCATATCAACGCTTTTTAAAATCAACAATAGTTAGAAGGGTTGCAATGTTATTTTACATAAAAAAAAAAAGAAAAAAAAAAAAGAGAATATCTGACACTTGAAAAGTAATTTTTGAAATATAAGTAAAAAATGGACCAAACTTTATAATGTGAGTGATGATGAAGATATTTTAATATAATATTTTGTCAAATTTAAAAAAGTGTCATTGAAATTAATTAAAAAATACAAGAGACCAAAAATAACTCATTTCAAAAGTATACAGTGTTATTACATGGTAGTCACACTCATCAGTCAAATTGTGTTAGTCATGACTTTTGCAAGCACTTGACTCTAATTAAAAGGTACGTCAGAGCTACCTTTTCTTTTTATCTACCTCACCTCACACGCCATTCCAGAGTGGTCCTCCGTTAACATCACTTGTTCAACAATCACAACCTTCCATCAATTTCTTCCCCAAAACCAATCATTTTAGTTGGAATATTTTTTGTAATTTCATCATAATTCAGTGGCATAATTGTCATGGGATGTTCAGAAATTCAGCCTAATTATGGTTGTGTTTGGTCATCATGGATATTTTTGTTGCTCTTTTATTTAGTTGGTTTTAATTCATGGCCTATGGCCTAATGATCTTCAAAGTGAAAGGTACACTGTCTATCTCCAAAAAAATTCACTGTAAAAAATTGAAAGAACTCTACTTCGACTTTGCCATAATATACATATAGATTTAGAGATGTCAATGGAACAATTACGAAACAAGACGTTCCGATATCTACAAATAAAAAACACTTTTCAAATTGTCCGGTCACCTTGTATCAGAGTTGAGGTAGATTCAAGGTGTTTGACAAATATTTTATTTTATTTTTTTTAAAAAATAAGAAATAATTATCTTGAGCAAATTTAAAATAAATATTACAGAAACATTCAACTTAGAGTCAAATACTTAATGATCGTTATAGCAAAATTATTATTAAAATCTAAAAGTACGAAGAAAATATAAAAACTTAATCAAGTAAACAAACTTAACGGGACCCTACGAGGAAACCCAAACTTGTCCCATACGGACGGGACCCGGTAGACTCCGCATGAAAATATGTAGTGGTTTTACTTGGGCCTTAGTGTGTAGTGGGTAAATCCATCAATCGCTTTCGTATCATTACTCAGCATGACCAGACAAGTATTATGATATGGCATTAACTAATCCGTTGACCAATGGATAAGTTTATTAAAATAATAAAATAATTAAAATAATCTTAATAAATTTAGTAAACAATATTTTTTTAAAAAAATGACATGATTTTTGGTATTAAAAACTTAACCGGTTAAGCTTATGAGGTTCTTGTTTTAAATTTTTGGTTAAAGATTGTTAAAGAAATGAAATTTGAACTTAAATGATGCACATAATTTATAGGTAATTATATATTTGGAATTTGCAAATTGTGTGGAGTGGAAAGTGATTAACCGGATAAATTATTATTATTTTTTTAAAATAATGATAATAAATAAATAAATAAAATTATAAAAATAATGACAAGATTTACCTTTAAGGCTATACCAGTTGGGAAGATCAAATTTGACTTGTTTAATTTTATATGCAGAATTTTTATTGCGGGTGTGGATGAATTTATTAATGTGACCCCTTTTTTAAAAAATAATAATAAATAAATTATTCACATCAAACTGGCCCACTCAATTATGCATTAAATTTGCTGACAAAGGCTTTTAAGAGTGTAGCAGTTACACCGATATTTGAACTTTTGACTTTAAAAAGAAATAAGAATATGATATCACTATCAGTCCTAGTGTTATTATATTATATTTGATCACATAAATGAATAAACTCGAACATTAAATTCAGGCACTCTAAGTTCTAAGAGCTAATTTGATATGATGTAATAAAATAAAATAAAGTGAAATGAAATGTATTTTTTTTTTTCATTCTTGTGTTTAGTGTTAGTTTTAAAGTTGAAATCATCATTTCCCACTATTCTTGGAGAATGGTCATTCTATCAAAATTATTCAACTTTTCACCAAAAAAAATGACCATTCTATTCTTATCTTATTCCATTCCCACCTCCATTCTCATTCCATTCAAATTCATTCCACCACACCAAACTAGCTTTAAGAGGCATAATAGCGTTGCTAGGGATCCTTGAGTTAATCTAGCTTTTGAATTACATTCCTAATTTAAATATTGTGTATGTTATGAGACCGTTATACATGTCTCAAAGAAAAAAAAAATGTCAGACATTCTAAATTCGTTAATAAATAATATATATGATTTACGAAAGATCGCATATTTTTAAAATTTGCAGCTCTTTGGGAGCCAAAGTAACTGTGGTGAGTCGATTTTTTTGTTTTTTAGTTGGCACCAGGACTTCCCAACTGCTCCAAGCCCCGGGGGCATGAGTCGATTTTTTTGTTACCAAACATTACATATGATTATATATTAGATTCGTATAGTTTTGGGAAAGTGGGGATGGTTGGTTGAAACTTTAATGGAGACTTGGCGGCTGAATATTATACTGCATTGAAACTCTGCATTAATGAATTAAATGAAAGCCATAAACAGTAGGCCAGTGTCATTCAGATATTTTCTATCTCTTGAAGACTTCAGTTTTAATTCACAATTCAAACTGTAAAAGAGTGGTGAAGGTTTGATCTTCATAAGATTTGGAGTGATGGGTTTCAAAGTGCAGATGTTTCTGCTTTTTATTTCAATCCAAAGTGTGGTTACAAGAGTGGAGGCAGATAATCAAGATTGTAAGTTTGTTCATCTCTTAGTCACAATGTTCTACTTCATTCACTATATGATTGGTTCACCTACTGTTTGTTGATTTGTGTGTGATAGAGCTTCATCGCATGCTTCTTTAGATTTAGCTCATTTTCAATCTTCTTATAGATAATCTCTGTTTGTGTGCTGAGAAAATGAAGGAAAAGTAAAGAAACTGAATGTTGATCTGTGTCCTTTCATTTTTCCTTCAAAGAATGAACTAGTCAAATCAACTAAGCTAAATTTTCAATGCTCATTATGTCTAAACTAAGGTTGATATTCCCTTTGTTTCTTAAATTTTTAGAGTATAGACAGTTAAGCTTTGCCCACAATTTTCATAATTATTTGTTTGTTCCGAAGAGAATAATCTTAAAATCTGATTTAGAAATTACACTCATAAATCATATCCCTCAGGCGGCATATTACTGAATACTGACAATTCTTTCTCTTTTAAGGGTTTGATAATACTTAACATGTTCTTGATTATACTTTTCTGGTAATATGAGTTATTTTTTTAATCCAAATTTATCCTCAAAATTCAACGGCTAAAGCTAATGCTTCTTCTCAGTTATTGATTCCTTCTGATGGTCAGTTAGTCCATAGTATGTTTGATAGTTAATCTATGAAAAAAATGGTTTTTGATGCTCAAAATGGTAAAGTAATTTTTAATTTCTGAATTTGTGTCGCAGTTGCTCCTCTAAAATCTCTCATGGATGGCTGGAAGAACACACCATCCAGTTGGATTAACTCCGATCCATGTGCCAATGATTGGGAAGGAATCGGGTGCACCAATTCACGCGTGACTTCCATGTAAGTCCTTGGTTTGTTTTCATCATGTTGTTGCTAATGGAAAATAACTCATTCTGCCTCGTCATATATTTGAGATTAATCTGACCAATTTCAATTTCAGAACACTATCAAGCATGAACTTGGCTGGTCAGCTGGCTGGAGATATTGACTCACTATCTGAGTTACAGACTCTGTATGTGTTCCATGCTCACTCTTCCTCTTCTCCCTTACATGGAATCCAAATTGTGGTTCTTCGTCTTTTCAGATACCATCTTTCTTCTGATTGCAGTACCGCAATAGACTCGTGTTCACAGCAAAATTTGTGGACTCCTCGGACATGCCCTTGTGGACTAAACATTTTAGAAACTCATTAGAGTAAAAAATATCTCTATGGGGTTAACTTTTTCAGGTTTTTTTTATTAATTTAAGGGATGTTATGTCTGGGAGAAACGTAATTAATCTGCTACATTTCATTAAACAAATTTGATTGATGAGTTTGACTAGCGTCCTTTACTTGGAACATCCAAATGCTACCTTAAAAATAACCCTTCAAAGTCCTATGTGTGACACAATAAGAAAAAACCATGATGAATTTTTCTTTGTTTCTGTTTAATTATTTTGCATCATAATTATATTATCTTAATAATTTTTTTATTACAGGATATGGCACCATGAGTAATGGTGTTATAACTATATTTTCCCCACTTATCCCCCCCCCCTCCCCCCCCCCCCCTCTCTCTCTCTCTCTCATGCACGCTCATGGAAGCATGCACACAAAAACAATATCTATGCATGTATCTGTTTCTCTTCAATGCTAATATGGAAAGATTCTTCACCCCTTACATGAGTGTGATTATTCCTTATTTTACTAATAGAAGCTGTTTGAAATGGTCTTTTAATTTTCATTTTCCTGGAAAGAATTAGTGAAACTGGTATTTGATTATCTGCCTCTGTGTACAGGGATCTATCATATAACAAGGGCTTAACAGGATCTCTTCCCTCATCAATTGGAAATTTAAAGAAGTTATCAAACTTGTAAGGAATTTTTTTATTGTTTTAATAAAGTATTAGCTGATAATTAAATGGCAGTTACAATGCTCTACCGATTAAATGATAATAAACCAATTGATTCTACTCTGCATCAGAATTCTGGTTGGTTGCAGTTTCACTGGTCTGATTCCAGCATCAATAGGATCTCTCCAGCAGCTGGTTTTCTTGTAAGGATTTCAAATCTGTTCTTCTTGTTCTATTTTTAATGCGAGAGTTAATGAAAATGCAAATGTTGGATGTGAGTTTTGAAATATAACTTGCATTTAAAAGAGGCTAGAAGTGGCGTTCGCACAAATTTTTATCTTAGTTGACAGTCTGTTCCAGAACTGTGACTCCAAGCTTGTCGTTATGAATGCTTAAGATTCAAATTCCTTTGTGATATTAGTCTATGATGGTGTTATCATAGATTTCAAACTAATATGGTTGCAAAATCAAACTCGTTGTACAACACCATAACTGAAATCATTTCATCTTCTGGAATAATTATACTAGAGTGAAACTAAAAAGGTTATATACTACAGTTTAAAAGCCTTGACAAATAAACAATGACTGTTTTCCTTAATTATGATTGCAACAAAAAGAACTATCTTAAAGAACTGACCTGACCAATGCTTTCTTATTGTATATGATTTTGATTTTAAAAAATTTATGAACTTTGATGCTCTCGTATTGTACAGAAGCTTGATTTGAAATAAAGTTATACAATAAAATTCATTACAAATTTGATTTTGTTGCAAGATATTTGTCCTTTTCTACAAATTTGTATACCTTGTATGTATATGTGTTATTTGAGCATTTCCTATGCATCGCAAACTCTTAAACCTGATGAAGACAAGCACTTCCACCATCATGCTTCCGCACAAAATCTTGCTGCTTGCTTTCAAGACTACACAATTGCACAAGGGATCTAATTTGTGATTCTTTCAATCTAGCATCAGAAGCTCCATTATTTTAATTTATATGAGTTGTGCTTTACATGTTTGTATTCCACAAATTTAAAGCTGAAATGTGCCAGTAAGTAAAGTGACTTGGGATTTTCAGTGCAGTTCCATGTCTTCATTTTTTTCTTTTTCTTTTTTTCTCTTTTTAATAGTTCTTCATTTTGTCTTCTGCAGGTCTCTAAATTCTAATAGCTTCAGCGGACCAATACCACCGTCCATTGGAAATCTATCAAATCTATATTGGCTAGATCTTGCTGATAACAAACTGAGTGGAACTATCCCAGTCTCTGATGGGATCACACCTGGTTTGGATATGCTATTTCACACGAAGCACTTGTAAGTTCTATAATCTCAAGTATGTTTGAGCTACTAGTTCCTATTACTTTGATCTTTACTTTCTTCCTAGTAATAATCACTAAATATGTTTACTACAGTCACTTTGGAAATAATCAACTATCCGGTGAAATTCCACCACAGCTATTCAGCTCAAACATGGTTCTGATACATTTGTAAGTTCCATTGAATTGACTACTTATCACAAGAATCAGTAGTATATTACTCGAGCGTCTGCATAAAATAATTCATTGGATATGCTTTACATCTTTAAGGTTTGCTTACTTGCATATTAACTAGGAGAAAAGAAAAGTAGCAAGATTTCATGCTGAAAAAGAATATATATTAACATAGGAAAGATATAGACAACTTTTCTCTCTCTCTTTTTTCTTTTCCTGCCTTTTTTAGTATCAGTTTTCCTGTGGATACCCCCTTCAAATTACTTGATATATCTGAATAATGCATATCTTGAATTTTTTATTTAGTGATATTTTCTTTTATCTAACGAGGAGTGTTAAATTTAATACAACCACCTATTCTCAAATGATTTTTTTTTGAATCTGGACATTACTTTCGGTATGGTCATATAATCATACATAATATATTTATATATTGTTTACAGGCTTCTTGATAGCAACCAGCTAACCGGCAGCATTCCTTCCTCACTGGGACTTGTGCAGACTTTGGAGGTGGTGTGAGTATTTCTGTCACATACTTGAGCAAAATTAAGTTAAGATTCTTGCAAACTGTGAATTTCTATGAGGCTTTCGTATTTAATATCTTGTGTTAACAACAGACGCCTTGATAGAAATTCATTAAGAGGACCAGTTCCAGCAAACTTTAACAACCTTTTACATGTGAAGGAGCTGTAAGTACATAAAAGATATATATATATATATATATATATATATATATATATATATATATATATTTAAGAAGTCAACATTATCCTGTAATGGACTTTCTGCTTTTTTTCAGTTTGGCTTCTGATTGTTCACTTTCAGGTTCTTGTCCAACAATAAACTCACTGGTCCACTACCAAATCTTACTGGCATGGATTACCTCTCTTATGTGTAAGTAGCTGATATTACTAACGTCATCGATTAAAACAACTTGATCCTCCAACTGTTTTCTGAAATATCATTTTTTAGCTTCTTGTTCCCTCTTCCGAAACATCTGCCTTTAATTTGCTGTTATTTTATTTTGACAATTATATCAGTTGGTAGTGTTCTTATTTTCTATTCTTCAACCGAAATGTTATTAATTTGCAGGGATATGAGCAATAACTTATTTGATGCATCAAGTCTTCCTCCATGGGTTTCATCCTTTCCATCTTTGACAACACTGTAATCTCTCTCTCTCTCTCTCTCTCTCTCTCTCTCATACACACACACATACAGTGGCATAGCCAGGAATTTCTTTCTGTGGGGGCAATCTTTAATAGCAATAATATATATATATATAAAATTTGAACCAAAACAATATATGTAAAAATTAAAACATTGATTCATTATATTTCTATTCAATACATTCACAATGGTTTTTCAGATTATTAATTGCTTTTTCAAAATTGAGTTCATTCAATTAAATATACTAAAAAAAATCATATTCAATGAATAAAGAATAAAATATAAAAAAGAAAATAACACTGGTACCTAACTGTTCTAATATATCACATATGTAAAATAAATAAAAATCCATAATAACATTTGTGATTTCATTGATTTGGGCTGCAAATAAAAACAAATTCCAAGTCTTATTTAGATAATAATAATTAGTAACACAATTACACAAACTAAATTTTAAAAGAACAAGAAGCCCTAAAATAATTTTGATAGTAATATTTAATAATTTTTCTAATTAAATTGAAAATTTAGATGAAATATATATATATATATATATATATATATCAAATTACCTGTCGACTGACCGAGTCTCTGTCCACTGGTAAATGGTTGCTCCGCTGGTTTTGTTTAGATTGTGAAAAATGTTGAGGATTGAAGATGTGATGGAAACAATCTATTTATTTGTGGTAAGGTCAAAAGTGTGACATAACACCTTGATGAAATGCTTTTTTTTTTTTAGAAAGTAGAATAGAATATAATATTTTAAGAAAGTGGAAATAAATATCATATTTTATGGGAAAGTGATAAATTGATAGCTATCTTATATATATTTACAATCATGTCATGATTTTATTCCTTTGTTTTGTCCTTTAATTTTATTTTTTATTTTTTTTGGTGTAAATCCGTGAATGAGCTTTTGGTTATATATATATATATATAGTATATAGTATATATATATATGTGCACTGTCAGATTTTAGAGGGGACAATTATACAAATATAAAAATCTTTTTATATAAAATTTTCAAAAAATTAAAAGTTGAGTGGGGCAGTTGCCCCCACTTGTCCCTCTGTGGCTACGCCATTGCACACACATAAAAGAAGCTCACATACAACTTGAATCAAGGATTCTACGAACTGCGTGGGACGCTGCACTAATCCACTTCCACCTTTGTTTCTTTATCTAGGGACTCGTATTGTATTGAAACACAGTAATCATGCCTTTTATCAAAACCTCAATCATGTGTCCTAAGCCTTCACCTTGACAATGTAGTAGCTTCAATTCTGAATATGCCACTCCTTACTGATCTTTGCTATACATATCTAAACCATCTAAGCAACTTTCTATATTATTGTCCTCATTTCGTGGTGAATGAACTAATTGTTAAATCTCACTCAGTGTAAAGAAGAAGATTTGAAGTGTTCTTTATAAAATATAATCTACTAAACTTTTCATGGCAGAAAGATGGAACGGACGAGACTTCAAGGACAAATTCCAGTTGAGCTCTTCAGCCTTTCTGGATTACAAACTGTGTGAGTATCAGCTTAATCTCATATAATGCTGGATTTAGTTTGTTAAGTTTTGAGGAATCCAGATAAAAAACCATGCAAATTCCTGAGATTTCAACAAAGCCGATTCTCATTATATGTTTACATTATGATAGTGGTGGTAATAAGCAAACTTCATTTTTGACTTGTGATGACAGCGTACTAAGAAACAACCAGCTTAATGGCACCTTGGATATTGGCTCCAGCCATAGCAATCAGCTGCAACTCATCGACTTGCAGTACAATCTCATTTCCGGCTTTATGCAAAGAGCAGAAAACAATATTGAGCCGAAAACAATAATGTAAGCTTTAATATTCCTCTGTTGTCTATGACAATAATAAAGAACTGACCATTACATTATTATTTGGAAGTTCAAATGACAGGATGCAAGATATTTACTATAATTTTCTTTTCATTTTTATAAACCACAATGCCGTGATTCTCAACTATTTGCTGCAGTCTTTTAGGCAATCCAATTTGTGAGGAAACGAAAACAACAACAGAAAAATACTGCACCATTCACCAGTCCAATATTTCATATTCAACACCACATAATTGTGAGCCTGCTCCCTGCAGCTCAGATCAAATTTCCAGCCCCAACTGTAAATGCGCATATCCATACATGGGCACCCTATTTTTCAGAGCTCCTTCCTTCTCAAACCTGGGGAACTCTAGTGTCTATGTTCCTCTCCAAGACAAGCTAATGCTTTCTTTTAACTCACATGGACTCCTGGTGGATTCTGTTTCTCTGAGTAATGCAACCAAAAATTCGAATGATTACCTTTTATTGAGCCTAGAAGTTTTTCCATCTGGCCAAGAACATTTCAACCGAACTGGAATTTCTCGGATTGGGTTTGTGCTGAGCAACCAAACTTTCAAGCCCCCTCCCGATTTTGGACCCTTTTATTTCATTGCTGCCGAATATAGTCACTTTGCAGGTAATTAAGTATTTCAATTGAATGTGAGAGAAATTTGTCCCAAAGTTTGTTCTATCTCATTGTGATTCATTTGAGTCTCATTCTCTCCATCTATATTGTCATGCAGAAGTATCTAAACAAACAAATAAATCAAGTATCGGTATTATCATTGGAGCAGCAGTTGGTGGTTCTGTTCTTGTGCTATTGTTACTCTCTGCAGGAGTTTATGCTTTAAAACAAAAGAAAAGAGCTGAAAGAGCTACTAAACAGAATGATCCTTTTGGTAAGATAAGAAATGAATTGTGACAAAGCGTTTTCCAACTAAACTTATTATGGTATTTACTGATTTTTTTTTTTTTTTTTTTTTTCTCCGCTTTATTGTCATGCTATTGCAGCATCTTGGGATTCTAATAAACACAGTGGAGGCATCCCTCAGTTGGATAAAGCAAGATGTTTCTTGTTTGAAGAGCTTCAGAAATGCACCAACAATTTTTCAGAAGAGAACGCTATTGGATCTGGGGGTTACGGGAAGGTTAAAATTTTACATTTATTGTTTGAGAAAAAAATCTGTCTGTTCATTCTCCTTTTCTTGGTAAACAGCGTGCATGCTAATACCATGATCTAATACACATAGGTGTAGACTATTCCTTTCTCAGACTGTAGGCTCCATTTTACTCCACTCCTCCTGCAGATATGACTCAAGTTCAGATGGCATAGGCAAATAGTTTTGTCATTTATGCAACAAAATCTCTGAATTTTCACAATTTCAGAATCATCTACAAGTTTCAAATCAATAGTACCTAATTAGTGTGTGTATTTGACAATGAATTCTTGCATGTTATCAACGTATCAAATTATTCCCGAAGTTCTTGTATACTTGAACAAGTTACTATATAAGTTCTAGAAAGCATAGTTTATCTTTTCCAGTACTTTTTGCGTTTTCCACTGGATTTCGTTTGCTTGAATAATTTTTCCCCGTAAAAGAATTTCTTCATCAACATGGTTTCTCGCCCTTCACAGAATTTTTTTTCCCAGACATTCATGTCGCCGAATAGTTTTCAGATTCTGAACTTGTCACAGGTATACAGGGGCACTCTTCCCACTGGTCAACTGATTGCTATTAAAAGATCTCAAGAAGGATCCAGGCAGGGTGGTAATGAATTCAAAGCTGAGATTGAGATGTTATCAAGGGTTCATCATAAGAATGTTGTCAGCCTTGTTGGTTTCTGTTTTGATAAAAGTGAACAAATGCTGGTCTATGAGTATGTTCCAAATGGTTCACTAAAGGAAAGCCTTTCAGGTACTTGAACTTGTTATCTATCCTTCTCATCTAATATGGAATTTGTTAATAATTGCAATTCAGTTGCTTGTTCTATATGTAAAGAAAGGAAGGGAAGGACAGTTTTTATATCTTTGTACCAATATACCCTTATTAAGTCTGAGTGAATTTCGATAAGGTTTAACAAGTTAGTAAATAACTGAAGGTTAAAATTGGTATTACCTTTTTTGGATTAGTTATTCTTTCTTTCCCTCCTCTCTTTGGCCCAATTTTGGACGGATAGAAAAACAAGAAGCTAGGAGGGATGCTTCCTCCCTTCTTTGCTTCCTCCATCTATTCCCCCCCCCCCCCCCCCCCCTCTCCATCACTCATCCATCCCTCCTTAATCCTTCCTTCCAACCAAACATAGCATTAATCTTTCTGTATCACTGTCTGTGAGATCAATCTCCTAGCATCAAGCTACAAAAGTAATAAAAGAATCCGATTAGAGCACAAAGGCGGCAAGATTCATGCAGTTCAGCAGTGGACTAACACCCCAGAGGAACCAAAAATTATTTTCCATCTCTGATAATAGAATTACATTAACATTTTTCTCAAATCAAGAAATTTGATGTTCGATATTACCTCTATTTTTTTCTACCAGCAGAATAAACTTAAGCCTGATTCAAAACCCCACCTCCCTAACAACACCATGTTATAGGGGTATATTTGGACCTTGGAAAGCATTGATAAAATTTAAGGAATTTTCACAAGACTGACAAAATAAAGTGTTTGATATTTTCATGTGTTTCCTGCATGATGAACTACTCTATAGATTAGTATTTTTGAGCTGAGAAACACAGTTTTTAAAATCTTTTCGATTTTAACACACCGTCTGTGCAGGAAAGTCGGGGATCAAGTTGGATTGGATGAGGAGACTTCGAGTAGCCCTTGGTGCAGCCAGAGGTCTGGCATATCTGCATGAGCTTGTCAATCCTCCCATAATACATAGGGACATCAAATCAAACAACATTCTACTGGATTCACACTTGAATGCAAAAGTTGCTGATTTTGGTCTCTCGAAGGTTATGAGTGATGCTGATGCGAGCCATATAAGTACTCAAGTCAAAGGGACAATGGTTAGTACAAAATCCTCTAACCTACTCACAAGAAAAACTCTAATTTGCTATAAATAAATAATAAAAAGTGAAAATGACTTCGGTTTCTGAAGGTTATTCCTGAAATTTCAAATTTAACCTGTTCACAAAGTTCAATTGTGAAAATATTTTCTGGAACTACAAGTGTCATTAACTGGTTATAATCGTAGCTGCATCAGTTAAACCAAGAACCAGATCCGGGATATGGAAAATTTCCCACTGCTTAGTGTTCGAGGCTGAATAAGATTATTTACAAACTCTGTATTTTCTTAAAGGAATTAAAGTTATTTATAAATATTCTTATTGAGTAATTGCTTAGAAGTTTATGCACTTGCTTCAATAGTCACATGGAAGGTATGGTGGCTTTTCTAAACTAACTTCCAGACTCTAATTCCAAATGAAGCCTCATTAGCACTTCCTGAACCATTTTTTGGATTCTTTGGACAGTTGGACTCGTCTTGATGAAGACAGCATTAATTGATATAAAGCACACATAACTTGATTAACATCTAATAGTTGGTAAAAGAACATCAAGAAATCATAATGGTGTTGTGAGGATTAAATGCTCGAGTTCGCTGAAAAATCTACAATATTTCTCTAGCGTTGTAGACTGAAAGGTGGATTTTATTTCCTGGTGCAGGGCTACTTAGATCCCGAATATTACATGACGCAGCAGTTGACTGAGAAGAGCGACGTATATAGCTTTGGAGTGCTAATTCTGGAGCTGGTAACTGCAAGGAAGCCGATTGAGAAAGGAGTATACATTGTAAGAGAGATACGGCAAACTATGGACAAGACTAAAGAACTATATAACCTTCAAGGGATTATTGACCCAAACTTTGGTTTGGGAATCACACTGAAAGGTTTAGAGAAGTTCGTAGAACTGGCAATGAGGTGCGTCGAAGAATCCAGAGCTGACAGGCCTACAATGAGTGAGGTGGTAAAAGAGATAGAGAGCATAATGGAGTTGGCTGGTTTGAACCCTAACGCTGATTCGGCATCCACTTCAGCAAGCTATGAAGCGGCCAGTAAGGGATCCGGCCATCCTTACAGTAATGAGAGCCTCTTTTCTCGTAGCGATGGCTTTACACCTGCAAAGTTAGATCCCCAATGAGTAAGAGTTTCATCTTACATTAAGAATGGTGAATTGGGTAGCACTTGGCTGGTCCTGTCCGAATGCATTTGAGTGATATTTGTAAGAGATGGAGAAGAACCAGAACTGTGATTGAAGCAAACTCTCAGCCTAATTTGGCTTTCAGGCTAGATCATGAATATGTAAAAATGGAGTGAGTCTCATGAACAATCAATTGTAAAAAAGTGGATAAATTGAAGAAGAAAATCGTAATATTGCTGTATGTAGGTGATATGTATTTTTTCTGTAAAATTTAATGTTGTTTCTTTGTACCAAAGCTTGATAAACAAAAAATTGCGCAATTTCTTTGTTCTGTTGTAAGTCCTCTGTAATGCTTCTGATGTGCTTTTGATGTTAAGTGGAAGTAGAACTGGCTATGCCAGTTGATTCAGGTGACGGTTCGGAATTTTCCCCAGAATCCTAGGTTTCTGGTTTCTAGCATGTTTACTGTGTTTTCTTTGTCAGTTCACACGAAATTGTCATAGCTCTGCTTTTTCGCTTGTGGATGTGGTTTCCAACAATGATTGAACAGGCTTAAATTGTTTTGTTGTGATTATGGTGTCTTATTCTGCCTTTTTTTTTTCTTCCCTAAATTTTATCAAGTCTCCTAACATTTGAAATTATTATATCTTGGGAAGCAAGAAGATTGTCTCCAATTTACAAGACACAATATTATCCTTTAACAGGTCTCGAACTTTCAACTTTTCTCTTTGAAGGAGAGATCATACCATCCCTTTAGTAAATTTTTGCACAAAAAATGCAATCCAGTCGTCACTCACACACACACAGATAGAGAGAAAAATTCAATAACGAATTCCATTAACAATTCACTAAGAATCAGAAGTAACAAGAGGTACCACGTTGGTATGATAAAATAGACGACTTTCTTTCTCCAATGAGAAAAATGGATAATCAACACAAACCTTCAAGTTATTTTTGGAACCACAAATTAAGTAACAATGAACTGACTAAACCACCAAGAAATAATTTATTATACTCATAAGAGATATAGCTTGGTTCAATGATAAACACTGGATAATGGCCTTGTAATTTTATTGCGGTCATTTCTATTCTAAATTAACTAAAAAAAAAATTGTGGGAACTCCAACTTCAAAACGATTTAAGACGGTCAGTTCCCTTGTTCCAGGAAGCCTTTTGGTCTGAGGTTCTGCACTGTATCCCGAACAGCATCTTCAACCGGTGTAAAGACTAATCCTAGATCGATCAACTTCTTTGCAGCATCTTTGCACGCCTTCAAACCTGGTTGTGTTTCCCCTGTAAACCTGTATTTCGTTGGAGTTTAGAGAGAGCAATATTTGAAAGCAGAAAGAAGATTTAGATAAAAGAAGAGGAGGACAATTGTTGAAGTTTGAAAACGAACGAATACATGAAAGGTTAAGAATTGAACAAAAGTTCAAGATGGCCAATCATACTGTAATTACTACATGACGCTCATAACATGAGCTGAAAATAGTTTATGTGGATGATATGGTGGTTACTGGTAATAAAGACAAAGAGGTTAGAAAACTCCAGAATTTTTAGCCAAGGAATTTGAGTGGAAGGATCTAGGTACTTGAAATATTTTTTGGGTATTGAGGTGGCCAGATCAAAGCATGGTATTTTCCTGTTCCAAAAGGAAGTATGTCTTGGATTTGTTGACTGAAACTGGGACGCTAGCTTGCAAACCAGCAGATACTCCAATTGAGCAAAACCACAAGTTAGGGGATGATAGGTATGTACTTATGGATTTGTCGTTGTAAAATACACTCCACGTAAAATTAAAACCTACAATCACTTAACTAAAAATGTCTAGTAATAAGTGTGGTCGATCCACGCATTCAAGTGAGTTTTTGTTTTGGAAAATGAGATTTTAAAACATTGATTTTGGAGTTTGTCACTAACTAGAATTAACTCAAATCATAGATAAATGAATATTGGAAAACAAATATTTAAAGCAATATTAGAATAAGAAAATTCAAGTATATATATTGAGAGCAAGAATTGATTGTAAGCAAATTAGTAGTCTATTTATATGCGTAATAGTCCTGGAGTCCATCATCCAGTTTTTGCAAACATAGGAGAGGGTTAAAGATCGTTTCCGCTGTAATATCTTCAACCTGAGTTTCTATATCTGGTATGCCTCTCTTCTTTATCAAATTTATGCATTGGAACCATGTTTCTATCTATGTTAGAAATTTCTTACATGTGGTATCAGAGCCAACATGGACTCTAATGCATAAATTTGATTTATTTGTTAACAATATATTGTTAATGGTATAGTATGAAATTTATATGCAATACATGTTTGAGATGAAAAAGGACACAGATATATATGTATATATATACTCTGTTTTTCATGTACGCGCATATATACACACTATGTATGCGTGAAAGTATCAAATATTTTAGTACAATTATATTGTATTACAAAAATGTATGCCTAAGATCTTCAAAATTTATGTGCATGCAAAGATATTGATATTCATATATATATCTATACTACTAATAAAAGTGGATTCAATGTATAATATTTATATACACTTTAAAATACTTATTTTAATTAAAAAAAATTTAAATGGTTTTCACGCTTCCCAAAGGACACAAACTTTGACAAAACTTTTACATCTATTGGTTTTATGATAAGATAAGATATCTGATACGAAATTTAAACATTTTTTTTTTATTATGGGTAAAGTACATTGACACCCCCTGAGGTTTGAGGAAAGGACAAGCAGAGGAAAGTTAGCCTGTTTTTGGACAATGACACCCCTTCAAGTTTGAAAAATGGACAAAGAGACCCCGAAGATGGTGAATTGACCTTATTACCCTTTCAAATAAAATTAACATTTTAATTGACTTAAATACCCTTTGATTGAACCCAAACCCAAACCCAAACCCGAACCCGCCTTATACAGTTCACCAGAGGAGAGAAAAGGGAGATCAGATGGATGGTGGTTGTGGCTGCGGTTGTAATGGTGGGTGTAGAGAGAGGGGGAAGAGAGGGGCGGCCTTAGTTGAAGAGATGAGGTGAAGAGGAAAGAGAGGAAGAAGATAGGAGAGAGATTGTGGTGATGGCTGCGACAGTGGGGGTGGCGGCGGCGATGACTGCGACAGTGGCAGCGAAACCCAGAAGCATCGGCGAAAGAAATTGCCGGCGAAACCCAGAAGCATCTGTATGTGTATATACACACACTACATATACTGCCACTGCCATCAACATCACCCCTCCGCCGTCGCCAACATCACACCTCAAACTCCGCCACCGCCGCCACATCATCACACCTCAGCCATCGGGGTTCACCCTTCACGCTCATCATCATCACACCTTCACGCGCTCCTTCTTCAGCGATGTTTTTTCGAAGCTCACCATCTGTCGCTGGGGTTCACCACCTCCTTCATGAAACCCTTGTAAGTTACAGATGAGGTTGTGGTGCTCACCATCTGCCGCCGGTGCTAACCACCTCAATTTCTCGGCCTTAGAAACCGACCGAAGCCACCTTTGCTAACCCTTGCTCCGGCTTCACCTCCTACCAACAACGGCCACATCTACAAGCTTTCTCTCACATACAGAGCTCACAGCAACCCTTATCGGCGGCGAAACCACCGATTTCATCCTCAACTGTCCACATTATCCAGATCTAAAGATGACGGAACCAATTGTAGAGTCAAGCCAAACGCCCCTCCTTCAGCAATCACTCCATACTCAAAGCTTCGCTCTACACTCAAACATCAACTCTTTGCCGCCGTCAAGAATCAAAGACGCCGGCGTAGGGAATATGTCTTTGTCAATCCTTGATCTGTTTGCTTCACGCTAGAAACTTGCGGCGGCGGCTGAGGAGTTATTTGAGGGTTTCTTGGAGGATGAAGGTGTCGGTGAAAGGAGTAACCAACATGTGAACGAAGGAGATGGTGAACCACTCGTCGGCCGGTGGTTGGAAGGTGTGGAAGTGGTGTCATGGCCGGGTCTGGGTTTGATAGGTTTACAATATACATATAGATATATAAATATAAATATATATATATATATATGTATGTATTGGTGTAATAAATGTATAAGGGTAAAAGAGTCATTTAAAAGTTTTGATATTTTATAATTTAAATTAATAAAATATTAAAGGGCAATCTTGACTTTTTACAAAATTTAAGGGGCTGTTTGGATCAAATTTTTGACCAGGGGGTGTGATTGTCCAAAAATAGGCTAACTTGTATCTACTTGTCCTTATGCCAAACCTCAGGGGGTGTTTGTGTACTTTACCCTTTTATTATTTATATATTTCTTAACATTTTTATATTATTTTGTATTTCAAATAAAACAATGAATTAATATCTTTTGAATTAAATTTTTGTTTTTAATAATTTAATTTAGAAACACGCAACGTTTCGTTATACTGATCTAACTGCACATTGCTTCCTTTCTTCAAGCGACACATACGTTCATGACTTTCCTTTTTTAAGGGAACACAAATGTTTAACAAAAGTTGCACATCGATCGGTAGATTGTGTTACGGTTATATATAAGTCAGGAAAGGACTTATTCAATAGGAAGTTTTGGCACGAAAACATTGAAATAGAAGAAAGACAAAACGAGATCTAGAGATGGTTGTTAACAAAGACGAGAAGTTTGGGAATTGTTGATTGAATCTTGTTGACGAAGAGCTGCAGAAATCATTCAGAAAGAAAGATTAAAAAGAGAAGAACACCCCCTGATCATCTCTATTTAACATTATCCAATCATTGACCTCTTTCATGAAAATACTATTAGAAATCTTCATGTGAAACTCTAACTCTGTATTCCTTATTGTACTTATAAATGTTTGCAATTTTAGGGTTATCTAACACAGTATATGGATGGTGGCCTCAATGATGCATCACCCAATGAGTTTCAGGTTTTTTTTTTCTTTTTCTTTTACTATCATGTGTGTGTGTATATATATATACACATATATATCTCTTTCTATTGGACTTGAGAAAGTATTATATATATTTTAACACTCTTGTAAACTAAACAAATTACTAATATTTTTTAAAACTGGATAGATTATTGTTGATAAATAATTAGTTTTACATTCAAACACCTTTTAAACCAAATTCCTATTCTCCTTCGTTGTTCATATTGATGGTTACGTAATTAAATTAAATCACCTCTCTAATGAAATTAGAATTGAAATTTTATTTTTCAATGAAAATAAATGATAGTAGATATAACCAATTTAGTAATATATCTTTCATTATCAAAGTCAACAGTTGTGCCATTTTTATCCGTATATATAAATTGTTAGCATATTTTACAATTTTGGATATGTCAAGTGTAATTAATTATA